TCAGTTAGTCAGTTAGTCAGTCCACCAGTCAGGCAGCACAAGCTAGTTTTGGCGCATTTGCACGTGCGCCCCAAAGATCGAAGTAAACACCGTGAAACGTGAAATTAAGGGTAGCGCATACTATGCACCACACATACTGTGCGTCATGTTACTCCACCTTCTCCTCCCCTCCTTCTATAAATTCATAGCCAAAACATGAACATGAATTTTGTTAAGCAGTTATTTTGTAAAGAGAGTACATACATACATAACCACATACATATATGTATATGTAGACAACAGTATTGAAAATTTAGTTTGGGGGTTGTTGCTACTTCTTGAACATTTGTCAGAATTTTTATTCACGACGTAGATAGGACATAATATAATAATACGCGTGAATAGTAAGTGGGCCACATTTAAAATTGTACAATTGGAATAGACTTTTAAAACCCATTCAAATATTGTTATTATTAACAACGCAGTTTTCATAAATCCAATTACATATACGAGTACACATACATACATAACATATATGAGTATGCGTAATGGCCGTAGGCAGTTTGTAATGAAAGAGGGCGGGCGCTGCGTTTATTCGATTATTGTTTGCATTTTGTTTAAAGTCGATTGCGCCATTGAGTGTTCTACCAAATTTATTTATTTATTTATTCATTATTTACTGCGCAGTGTAATTTTATTGAAGTGCAGAAATTATGTACTTCGGCTCATCTGTCATCTGAATGGTGGAAATGGAATGCTGGAGCTGGAGAGTATACAAGAATATATGTGTATATGTGGATCCATTTAGAGTAATGCTCTGTAGTGTACTAAATATTAGACCAACCATCACGTTTCGCTGCCAGTTTGTTGTTAGCCGATGATTGCTCGTGTTTTAACGATCGCAATTACTAAACGAAGTTGCAAGATATCCGAGGCGTTGCAAAATTTTTCATTGGAGCTGGCTTCTACGTGGCGGGTCCCAAACCCAGCGCACAACCTCTAGGCTAGGCGGGTACTGAATTTATAGAGGGAACACTTCTCTAATTGAATTGTAGTGGAAATGGAGAATTCGGAGATGGTGAAACCGAAACCTATTACCAGACCATGAAGAAGTTCGAATTGCAGTCGCACGCTTAAAAAACAACAAAGCGGCGGGAGCTGACGGCAGCTGACGGCCTACTGGCAGAACTATTCGAACATGGCGGTGAAGAGCTGACAAGGTGCATGCATCATGCAGCATGGCCGACAATTGGAATTTAAGGGTGCTCTGCCCAATCTATATATTCCACAGTCTGCGCCAACTACTGTGGAATAAGCCTTCTTAACATCGAATATAAGGTCCTATCGAGCGTTTTGTGCGAAAGACCGAAGCCCTCCGTCAACAAACTGATTGGACCTTATCAGTGTGGCTTTAGATCTGGTAAGTCAACCATTGACCAGATATTCACCATGCACCAAATCTGGAAAAATACACGTGAAAAGAGGATCGATAATACCCACCACCTCTTCGCAGATTTTAATTCTGTAAGGCTGACTTTATTTGCTTTGCTATGAGAAGTGAGTTACAAAAACATATAAAACGAGATCAAATGCAGCTGCAAAATTTCAAAAGGATCAGCAAGGGAGTACTCAAGGATTGCATTATTCAACACGTGTGCAACAAACGCTGGACATAAAATGTCGTTCTCGGAATAAAACCACCACCCATAGCAGACGAAGAGTTCGAGTTGCGTAATACTGGCGCAGCTTTGATCTGAATATTGTAGCAGCTTAAGTTCCTACTACTTATCTAGACACGACCCTGACATACCTAACGTATGTCCTGCTTTTTTACATGCCAAAAAACCAATTCATCTAACCCCCCTTTCCTTCGAGCTCAAAACCGAAGCTGAACAAAATGAGATGGACGATTTGGAATATGATGGCCCAGAAAATATCCGGTTGTATACATACATATACATATGTATATGTCACAGACTGCGTAGTTAAATTCCCAACAAGACCACCAAAACTCTACATTGTGATTCCACCCACAGCCCTACCAAATGAAGAAATGATGTAGTACATGACTTAGCTGGAGACATCCGATAGGTCAGGATTCAAGTCCTAGTTCAAGCAAAATTAACATCCAAAATTATAGTAAATTAATTTCCCCGCAACAAAATTCCAATAGTTCCTCCGACAGTAGGATCTTTATACCGGAACGACGAAGAATTTTGTCCTACCAAGAACAGTCACTCCCCGAAAACTGCTTTGAGGAATATTTTTGTGGCTAAAACAACAACAGCAACATAGAAAAATATTTCATTTTTATTTTAAATACCAGTAATTCATATGCGCAAGGGCATACATTTTTCTTTGAAAATGTATGAGAATTGATTTTCACCAAAACAACGAAAAAAATTTAAAGTCGAAATCTGGAACATATCATCCTTGAAAATTAAGTATACATATATGTATATACATTTCAAAATAATGTTTCCCGGTGACTGGAACCGATTTGCTTGAACAGACCAACCCAAAAACCCATTTTGAGTAAGATCAACTGCCGAAAAAAACCTTGGCTATTATCAGCTATCTACACAAATACAAAAACAAGTAGACATGTATGCGTGTAGTATATACATATGAATGCATCTATTATATATGTATGTACCCACCAACCTATTGCAAACTGAAAAATGCAATCATAAAAGCTAACGGCGCTTTATTACCTAAAGCTAAAATTACATGGCCAAATCATCTATAACGGGAGCGACAGAAGTAGACACAACAGCTTTAGTATCGGCAGCAACAGAGCAATGTGCTAGCAAGGAATATTGTGCAATCTCCTCAACGTCAATGCAACGCAAGAAACCTGAAATCGCAGCTTCTTGCAAACCAGAGTTTAAATTGTGCACCAATGGTGCAGTAGAACAACAAGCAGACCAGTTTAATGAATGAGTATTTTTTATATACACTATATATATATATTTGTATATATGTATCTATGTATGTATGTATGTATGACAGTGTACACAGGTGTGTGCATAATAATTACATATACACTTATGTATGTAAGTATGTATGTATAGGTATTGACATAAGTGCCGTAGTATGTAGGTGCGTGCATTTATTGCATAGAAACTCGCAGAAATACAGATAATCTTCAAAGTTTGACCATGGCCATGGCCATGACTGCTATCCCCGTTGTGTCTTGCCTACTCTGCACACAAGAAGGAATTATATTTGTACATTACATTCGCAAATGACGAGTATGTACATCTGAGTATGTGCATATATATATGTACATATGTATGTATCTACATACATAGATAGTTAAGACAAGAAGATGGCTTAGTAAAAACATTCGACTAATTTTTCACTCAAATTAATTACAATTAAATGGTTAATAAATGTATGTTAAGATATTGCGTGATATGTCTTAGGGGTAAACTTACGGTATCTACCGATTTTCAAACTGCAGTAACCCATATATTTATGTGCATATGAAGTGTGTTCATATGTCGCGTAAGTTTGCCAGTAACCGGACAGTACTAACCATTTTTTTATTTCATTTTATTTCAAAACTGAATGGCATCTAAGCAGGGATTAATTTATAAAATTACAAGTTTCATTTCCTGTCATTTCGTCAACGTCGTTATCTGGTTGACCTAGCGCAAAGTGTGAAAAAGTTTTTATATTTTTAAGCGAAATGGAGATTTTTCAATCAATTCATAAGATAATTTTCGTTGAAATGGGTATCGTTGAGTTGGTTAGTGTTCAATTAATTGGGAATATATGTATATTTCTTTAAAAAAAAAAAATTTTTTTTTATAAATTTAACTCCTCTCCGCTTAATGTCGACGCTGACTGTTAATGTTTGGAAAATGCGTCCGATTACTGATAATGTATAGAAAAATTGATCAGTAACGTTGCTTGAATATTGTACACGTTATATTTAATTAAAATATTTTTCAATGTTTCAAGACGACGCGAAAGCAAAGCATATTTCCCAAATAAAACTCCGAAAGCTAATAGTATTTAGAGAATTTCTAAGTCAAAGAAGTAAATCAGTTTCCGTGCAAGTTGGTTTCGTTTTGTTGTTGTTGTTGTTGTTGCAAAAATATTACCCAAAGCACTTTTCGGAGAATATTGCGGGTCGTCCGTCCGGTAATCACATCCGTCACATTTTCAATTGAAACAAGAAAGCACCATAGCTATCCATATGGCATATCTTCATCTTAAGAAATTACGACCTCTAAACAAGTTCAAAAACTCTCTACCCAACATTTCAACCATTAAACACAGTTTGCTACGTTTTATTTATATCTTTGAGAAGAGCGTGACTGGCTGCTCCTCCTCATTTCGTTAATCTAACAGCATCAGGTATTTAGTGAAGAACTACTCTCCTCTGGAAAGATCCTGGTTAGGTGCTTCCCACCGCTTTTGGTAATTATTTTTGATTTATATGTGGATCTACCTTAAAACTGGAAGGTAGTTGCGAAGATCTACTGCTCTATCGATACGACCCCCACCAGAGAACTTATAATAACTCTCTCCCTCTGCCCCACCAAGTCGTGCATATCTTTAAAGAATATATTATAAGTTTCTTAAGGATAAAATTATTTTTGAATTTTCGTTGTCCGATCATTAAAAAGCATGCCACCACCAACTAACCAAGTATTCAATGCTTAGACTTATTCAAAACCAGAGAAATCCACAACCTGCTCAACAGTTTTGATAGCAGACAACCCCCGATGATAATTTTTTAATGCGTTTAATTGATTTTTTTTTTTTTGTAAATTATTTTTGAATATTTCAAACGTATATGTATGACATTTGTAGGTACATACATACATGTAAGTATGCGTGTTTGAGTACACATAATACCACACAGCTGTATTTGCTTGCTCCCTTATCACATTTAGATACACATATACTCGTAAATTTAAATACTTATGCACATACATAATTAATTAGTAAGCACAAAAATTACTGATATTTTTTCAAAATATTTGTTCATCAATTTAGGGACTTACCTTTAAAATTTAAAGTTTTCCCGTTATGATTAATTGGCGCGCTAATTTCCAATTTCATTTTTGAACTACCGAACAATTTTTCACCAAAATACTGTCTAGCATATAATTAGATACATATATAGTGCAAACATGATGTTTGTTATCAGCCGAGTCCTGCGATATCTCTCTTCAGATCACTTCAGTTTTTTCAGAATTATTTGTTAAATTTAGTTTTTTTAAGCCAACTTATGACATGAAATTAAATTTTTAAATTCAAAATTGTTTTTTGTTTCACTATTACCACTCAATAAAAAGATCTATATAATATTATTTTTCACTAGTATTGAATAGCGCGCAACTGGCCGCATTGATCTGCAGTCACAAGAGTAAAAGTGTTAATTAATTTAACTTATTTTTGCTATAGAAAGCGACACTATAATATATGATAGTAATTCAACTTAACGATCCTACCGAGCGTTCGTTTTGTAGATGCTATACACAGCAATTATGGCACATGAAATGGAACGATTACAACCGTTCAATGCGATGGCGCGCGCACAAGTGATTCCTTCTGTGCCACAGATTCGCACAACAGCTATCTGCCTCCTGCTGATTCTACAAAAATGTTCCGTCTAGCAGATAGTTACGATGAAAACAACAATACCAACAATACCAACAACAACAACTCAATCTGCTCAATGCACAACTTTAACTCCTCAAAATTTTTGAAACCAGAAAGAATGCCAACGAACAAATAGTAATGAAGGAGAAGGAAAACGAAATATAATAACAGCCATATAATGTGGTGGCAACAACAACTATAACAACAACAACAGCAACGACAAAGTAGTAACAAAACAATGACGACGTAAATAACTGCACTCAGAGAAGTCAGCGACAACCGAAGAGAACGTCAACGTCGACAGCGGGAAAAAAAGATGTCGAGCATGTTCGAAGCGCTTATAGGATAACAATGCAACAAGCTCGGAACTAAAATACACACACATTCACATACACTTGTAGTGTGCGAAATAGTACCATCAATGTTTTCTAGCGGGAAAAATTAAAATAGTTAGAGAATTCAAAAGATGGGTTTTCGGTTCAGCCTTCTTTCAATACCCAATAGCAAAAGTAGAGGGAAAAGTTGGTTGATGAGAGTAAAAGTGAGTACCGAACTGCTGAGCACAGCGATGCCCTAGGAGTTTCAGTCTAGTGACTAACTGGCTGCCTAGGTGACTGATTGACTAACATAAAGAATACCAGGGTATACTAATCCTTCACTTACGTCCTATACTGATTCCCATTACCAACTAACCCCACTTCAGTAAAAAACTGTTATAGTCTTGAATATTTAAATTAAATTGATTTTAAAATCTGTTCTAAATATAAAAAATAATAAAGTGTGATGAAGTATGCTACGAAATCATAAAAATTATTTTTTCTTGTTAGTGTAACGGAACGATATCGTTGGGTTTGTGGAGTATCTCTCATGTTAAGTGAGTTATTTTAATATAATATCCAATCAGCGATTTCTTTGATGGTCTAGTGCATGAACGCACCTATCCCGACGAATGCACTTCCAGTAAGAAAAAGGTTTCCAGTGAAGAGAACTATAAATACAGTTTATTCGCAAGGAGCCATCTAATTATCGAAAGTAAATCGAACCAAAAATACGTTATTTTCATATATGTACATAAGTCGATCTCTAGTCCACTTTCCTGCTAATCTAAGCAAAAAGCCATTTATGTACCGAATTTTAAATAGATGGAAACATAAATACAATTTTTTCCGAATAGATTCGTCCCTGGTTCACTTCTGCCAATGTAATTCCCAGTGGCATGCAGATACAAACTCTCAGATTTTATAAAATGACGTAAGTCTGGCGGCAGGGATCTCTCGCTCTATAGGCAGGCCTATTTCTGTGCTCACAACTGTAGATCCAATTCACGTTGAAAATCCAAATACAATCAAAAATACCGGCATACATATGTATATATGTAGAAACAAATTTATTTTGACACAAATGTTGCCACCTGAAATTTTATTTTAAATATAAATAAAAAAAATTATTCCGAGTGTTAGCAGGTGGAAGACTTTAAGACTGCCGGTTAGGCAGAAAACTTATTATAATTATGTAATTTCTCTAATTTGGCATGCCTGTCGTAGAGACGACGAAAATTCAATAATTACCGTTATAGTCGAGTCTTTACACCAACACGAATCGGATTTCCATACGGTCAAGGTAAGGACTGTCATACCCACAATATTCGCCAATACGTTTAAAACAACAACGAATATAATTTTACCATCTTACTGAAAAATTGAAAATGGATTATTTATTATAAATGTGAAGAGAATCGTAAAATATTAAGAGGGAAAGGAAATTTGAATTTCTCCTCTCGTAAATATAGAAACGTTCTAAATACTGAGCGCAAATATTAGTTATATGAGACAATTAATTCATTTTGAGCAGAAACATACATATGTACGTACATCTACATAAATGATTAAATAAATGCAAACGTTTTTAATTTTTGTATTCAAATGGGCAGCGCTGTTTATTGCAGATATTTACATATGCATACATAAATACATACATATGTATATATACGTATAAAGGTATATATGTATGTATATACGAATTTGTTTTCTTGTCTTGCAGCTGCCACTTTTCGCCACACGTCGCTCGCCTCGCACTCAGGAACTTTCGATAAACACACATACACTCAAATAATGGTCACAGAATGCCTCGTTCCTGTTGTAGGCTGCGCTGCAGCAGCGACGCAATTTTTTCCTCTCTCTCATTTTTTATATCATTCCTTCTTTGCATGAAGCCGATCTTTGGCGTTTCAAACATGTATAACGTTCGACGGTGGAGCAGAGTTGTGGAGTTTGATATACAAATGTGAGACTTTTTTCGATTAAAAACTGTTCATTTTCTGGCAAAAATCATGAATGCTGCGTATTTCCGAAAACAAGTACAGTAGGTATTCGATAATATGTTTAGAATTCAAAAACAAAATAATCTGCCGCCAGATCTACTCTTTTCGAATAAAACATTTTTCTCTACTGTTTTACTTAAAAATTCTGATTTCCTACTGTTTTCGACTTTGGTTTGTATGAACATTCCAAAAAATGTAAGTTAAACTTCTGGTATGCCTGTTGTTTCCCTCTCTTTTTTTATCGAAGCTTAAGAGTGTTCCGAGAGCTCGACTCGAATAGTGTATCTAGAATGGTTTCTTTTTAAGATAGATGATGGTACGCATTTGGGACATTTACAGGCTACAATGACATTGTTTACAGTCAACAACATCCCTTGCAAAGATGAAATGGTCGCGTTAGCAGCGGATGGAGCGATTGTGATGAATTTAAAAATTTATGTATAACAATTTCTTGAAAGTCAACTATAAAAATTCAGGATAAGGCAGATGAAATATTCCAACACTTGCAAAATCCATGAAACAGGTTAAAATGGCTTGATACTCGACTTTTGGCGACCAAATTAAACGAATTCGGTTATTTAGAGGTGGTGAGTACCCACTCCCCCGTCTGGAAGGACGTGGTGAGTTAGTATTTCTCCCTTTTAGGAATATAGACTCGTTTATGTGTGCCGAGTATCTAGTCCCTCTCTCGAAATGCAGTCATTCTACCTTTAGGACTCGTGCGGAAACGGATGCTTGCAAAAAATACAAAAGGAACTCCGCAACACCGTGTCTGTCTGTTTGTACCCAAACTTATTCGTCGCTTTCTTAAGATATTTCAATCAAAGTTGATAACTACACTGTATTGATCACTTGCCGGAACCGACAAGATAGGATTACTGTAACCTGTAACCCCCATTTAGATATATACGTGATTTTTAGTAAAAAAAAAAATCCGTCAAAAAATCATCTAAGTTCATTATATTTGGTATTATAACCTAAACTTTTCAAAATCGAATGACATATGTACATGCATATAAACTCAGATATGAGGCTTTGGTTAAAACACCGCCAAAAAAGCCGGAAAACTGATATGATGAGAAACTAATAATGTGATGCTGAATCGCAAACTGAGTAATCTTCTAGTTAAGACCACGACAGATCTCACTCTCCAGGGTATGCATGAATTGCTTCTCTGTGAGTATATGTATGTATGTATGTATTAGCTGATACTTTTCTTTATGTACCCAAATCAAAGATCGCATCAAATGGAATTAACTCACCTTTTACAAAAACTATTTTGGATTTAAAAATAAATCTTTATAGTTGCTATGATAACTATTACATTCATCACACAACACACTTTGTCATATTTTCATGTGCCTATGTATGTATGTATGTACATACATACATATGTGGACTCTCTTACACATCAATTTATGAAAACAAGAAAGCATGAATACCATCCTTCGCCGTGTGAAATATCTACATACATACATACATATGTATGTATGTATGTACATGCGTAGATTTCGTGCAACTCTCCGAATGCGCATTCCCAGCATCCTCTGTTGTGTTTGCGTATACATATGTACGCATTTTTCAAGGACTTTCGTCCTCGTAAAACAATGATACAGCTTCACAGCTTGTTTTCGCCTACTTTTCTAATTCTCATGCCGCTTTTACCACTATTATTGCCAACTTTGTGCCTGTACCTGTCTACATACATACATACATATGTATGTATATTGCAGATACCTACATACACACATGTGTACTTTTTAAAAATTTATTGCCCTATGATTTCAAGAGCACGTGTACATAACTTCTTGTTTTACATATCTCTCTATGTATGTATGTATAAAGTTTAATTGGGGTTGAGTTGGGTTTAACCTTGGATTTCTTTGAGATTCTTCGAAGGGTTGCTATTTCATCGCAAAGGGTTGTTTATACACACATACATACATATATCTATTTCTTATGGTTTATTTGAAACAGAACCGATACACATACATACATACATACGTACATTCTCAAATATATTGCGTAGTAATATACGCACTTTTAATGTCAATGTTTATACGTACATACATACATACGTATATATGTATGTACTTATTTATTTATTTATTTTTGTTAAAATACATTTTTATGAGGATTTGGCTTATCTTACAATTACAACATACTATACGATAGCCTTGTAATGGGTTGTAGTCAAGCTTCTTAATATGCACCCTGGAAGCATGAGCAAACTTTGTGCAAGATGCAGTAACCAACCCGTGTCTATCCTTGGGTCACGGCTAAAAGAGAGGAAGCTTCAGTGTAGCCACTCCGACTTATTCGGTTTAAGGATTCGCTGAAGTCTAATTGCAGCGTCTGTTCACCAGAGGTGCGGCTAAGAGCGGCTCGCTATATAAATGTGTACAAACTTTAAACTTACTCGCCTAGCGAGGTTGTGTGATGGGTTTGGTACCCGTCACTTAGAAACCAGCTCCAATGACAAATTCAAATATGCCTCGGGTGAGGTATCCCCTTCTGATAACGACCCCCGGAAATATTTTAAGAATCACGATTCAAGGGTAATCACCTGAAATATCCGGTCGCGTAATTGGTGCTGCTGCCCAGCTGGTTGATGTCGTCATAAGAATAAAAGCTGACATCACCGCCGTCCAAGATGAAATAAGAACGGACGCGAGAAGGTGATGCATAAGATTCTTCCAACTTATGTAGCTCTCGGAGCTTCTGACGAGTCACTAGCAATGCGTGTGGTGTGGCGTTGTCCTAATGAAACACAATTCACCTCCTATTGGTCAAAGCTGAACGCTTCTTGCAGATTACGTTCTTCGAACGCGGGAATTGCTGACAATACAGGTCCAAATTTTAGTTTTTATATACATATGTCCATATGCATACATATACAAATATACGTATTTCTGCACATGCAATATCTAACGACGGAATTGTTCATAAGCCGCGTGGTCATATTCAGG